ATTTCCACTTTTAAAGTATTTTGTATCTTAGAAAAGTAACTAATAATTAGAACTGTCAGTCTTTCTCATCTACCAATTGGACAAGCTAAGTAGTGTAGTGTGAGAGTGAGGAAGACCCCCCCCCCGAATCATTTCAGAGCTGAAGCACTATCAAGTGAATCTGTATATTCTGCGTAGGACAGTCCAACTGTGGAGTAGATCCGTTGTAAGAAAAAGTCTTGCATGTTCATTTTTAAGATGAGAATGCTATGACTTGACACATTTGTCACCTTGATGTAGGATTGTTCCAGCCAACAGCAGTGCATAACCTCAAGATTCTTAACTCTCACTGACCAGATCTCTTTATTCCTTTAAAAATATCTCAGGTCTGTCTCATTGAAAACATTTTGGCAGGAGAGGGACAGCCCAGTGTATTATCTGGGTCTAATTCAGTTCTGTAGAATGGGTTTCCCAATTCTCAGCCTCTTGCTCAAATGTACTGATTACAGGAACAAATCTCAAGCTTTATTAACCCTAACCCCAAGGTGCCTTCTTGTCTCTCTGAAGTGATTCATTCTTTCTGCCTCCCGAATCAAGCTTTCTCTACCACAGCTGCACTGGCATGGTATGACCATCTACTCTGACTTGTGTCCTATTTCCAAATGTATTTCTTTTCTGGTTAATTTTCAGATTACCTTTATGGCCCATGCTAAGTATTTACCTATGGAGCATAATGGTGCAAAAGCTGTTAGAATTGCTTATGGAAGCAATATACTTTGGAATTCTAGAACAAATGTCATGTGAATGCTAAAACAGTAGTTAAAACCTTTTGTTTCATTTTAGTTTTCGGGGATTTTTTGTCTTTATATATATTTCTAAATTAAATCTGTTTCTTCCAATGAACTCTACAAAGAAACCAGATATATTTTATTAATGAGAGTGCCCTTACCTTTAAAAAGCTGAAAAGTTCCTCCTTTCTGAGTTTCTGAGTTAGTAGCTGTAGATGTCCTTGTTCTTAGAGACCACACTCCCCTTAGCCTGGAAGCCCTGTTGTGGAACATACAGAATGGAATAGCCAGCAGAGATGCATGAGGCTACCGGAAGAACTGGATTCTTTTTTTCAGAAGGGAGAAAGATAACAACAACTTTGAGAGAGGGACAGTACAGAGCTCTGGTTAATTGGGTGTTCGGGCTATGCTTGGAAAATATCACAGGCAGATGAAAATTCCTTTTGTGAAATTGTTTCACTTTGTCTGCTCATATTATGATGCATAAGTATCCCATGCACATATGTAGGTTCTGATCTTACTCCAATGTTCCCCTCATCTGCACCATGTTCTACCTCAGTGATCAAGAGCACATGCCTTACTATCCATCAGGTTCCTAATCTGTATAAAGCCTTATATAACATCGTCCTTGCTGCTATGGCTCTAAATTAACCTATACTAGAAGTCACACATACCATTATTTTTCTTATTTCTTTTAACATAACAAAAAGCCTCCAACATTTATCCATTGCCCTTTAAGAACACTTGCTAGAAAATGGAGGAGAAGAAATTTATATTAAAATTCCAGATAAAACCTAATCATACCATAGTAAAGACAGTTCAGTTCCATGGCATTCTTACATTTTCAAAATCTAGCTAGGTAATGAAATGGCTTTCTTGGTAATCTACCATAAAATGGCCTTTGCTGACACAGAGAGAGAGAGGAGAGAGAGAGAGAGAGAGAGAGAGAGAGAGAGAGAGAGAGAGA